GCAGTTTGCACTGCCTTCCAGAAATATGTGGTAAATAGCACCATTACAGCAAGACTTCCTACACGAGAGAATCACCACGGCTCGACTCCTTTGGAGAAGCCTGTAGGAAAATGTAGGAGAATGCCCAGCAAAGCACTGAGTCTGGGAGTCTGGGTGCAAATGTGCCTAATAAGCAGATGCCTTTTCATGTTTGTGAGAAACACAGTTCATAATAATTACTTTATTATTACTTTCATTATCTTTTGATTTGCTGATACCTAAATATAATAAATACTACCTATTCACTCATGTTCTTGCATTTATATTGGTAATTACAATGGCTCCCTCGAGTTTTCACATTATAAAAAAGAATTAGCAGTGCTTCTATGAATACACATTAATTCATGATATATACTTATTGCACACTATCTATAATATTTCCAGGTGTTTTCTATGTGTCTGACAACGCTGAAGATACAGCACTGAACAAAAGAAACATCATGCTTTTATGAAACATATTCAAATCAAGGGGAGAGACAATCAAACGATCAGTAACATAAGTGCTATGAAGAAATATAAAGCAGGGTAAGGGGAAATAAAGCCGAGTTATGCAGGGGTGGGGAATGTTATTTCATGAAACACAGTCAGGGGTCAGGGAAGGCCTCTCTAATATGGGGACCACTAAGTAGAGAGCTGAAGGGAAGAGGGAAGTGCATTCTAAGCAATGAAAAGGGGGCCCTGAGGGGGCCTTGGGGCTGGGGCCACGTGGTATAGGTGGGAGAGTGGTAGGAAATAAAGTCAGGAGACAGTGTGGGGAGGACTAGGGCTGGCAACACAGTCTTATTTTAAGCTATGGCCTCCCCCCCACTCCCTACTGCCACCCTGAGTGAGGGTTTTGAGCTGTGGGGGGATGTTACTTTAGGGGCCACTCCGGCTGCTGTGCTGAATCTAGGCTCTAAGGGGCAAAGTCGGAAGCAGGGACACTAGGTAGGGGACTATTGTGACAGTCCCGAAAAGTAAAAGCCAGCTGGCCCTGGACCAGGTCGATAGCAGTGAGATGTTAAGACATGTGCAGATTCTGGATAAAGTTTAAATATGTCTTGTTTGTTCTACATATGTAAGTTGTTTTATCTATGTAAAATACATGTATGAAACAATCATTCAAGAGGTCTTTATTGAGTGGTTTATTCTATGCTAGGCAAAATTCTAGGCATTTGTGATGCAGCAGCAAGCAAACCAACCTCTTCCTTCATGGAGCTTAGAGTCTAGTGGGTGAGATGTTAAACAATAAATATAGTAACAGGGCTAGGGGAGCTGGGAGTAAGATTTCAGGACTTCCTGAAATAAGATTTTCAGGAAGGCCTCACTGAGAATGCGTCTGATGTTTATAGGCAGTTTAAGTTAAAAAGTAAAAATCCACAAACTGGCAAATGTGAGCTCAGAGTTGGAGCTTCAGTTTTAAATGTCTCTTAAAGCCCCTCAATAAATTCCTTGTATATAAAAAGTGGTTAAGAAATAGTTTTAGCCCTGGCCAAAACTAAGTGGTAAGAGCATCGGCCCATGCACCAAAGAGTTGTGGGTTCGATTCTTGGTCAAGGGCAGCTACCTGAGTTACAGGTTTGCTCAGTAGGGGCATGTGTGAGAGGCAACCAATCCATGTGTCTCTCACACAGCAATGTTTCTTTTTCTTTCTGCCTATCCCTCCCTACCATTCTCTCTAAAAAATCAATGGAAAAAAATATCCTCAGGTGAGGATTGAAAAAAAAGATAGCTTTAATAGACTGATACACACTTATGACACACTTTTAAGACACAGTAAGACAAAATAGCATAGGAATTAAGAGACTCCTATATCTCGAATATATCTGAAAGAAATGTAGAATAATTTAATCTATTTAAAGAACTAGCTGGTTCAAAGTGTTAAGTTGGAGTTGGATTAAAGAGAGTTATTTAAATGATAAGAAAAGGGTTATTTGATGGTAGGAGAGTAGGGATACTCAGCAATGAAATTCCACAGAAGGGCCTCAGAAATGGAAGTACATGTATCTCTGAAGCTGTTTAAAATATTTTAACTACTTGAAACCTGAAGTTATTTCTATGAATTGGAATCAAAATTAGAATGTATTAATTCATGGGTCTGGAAAGTTTAAGAAAACTTTGCAGATGGAATAATGGTTAATAACTGAAATAGTCATCATTTTCCTTAACATCAACCTTTTCCTAGGACAAGAACAAACTTTCTCTTTTAGGGAAAAGTGCCACTTCAAATTATTCAAGTTTTCTTGAAAGTTTTCATTCATTCTTGGCTAAATTTGACCCATTTCTCAAGCAAAGACACAAACACTCAACTAGCAGCATCTACACAGTACACAGAGAAAATTAGCACTTAAAGAAGACTGTACCATAAAAACTTTTGTTCCAGAATAAGCAGCAACCAGTGAACCAGGTGACAAGTATTTGCTCTCGTTAAAAAGGATGATAAGCATAACCAGTAATGCTGGACCCAGATCACATGAGGGGTGACACCTAACTCTAACCTGGACATTTATCCCAGTGCTTGTCACGTGCTTTGACTTTTCACTGGCCATGAAGTTATACTGTACTTACAATTTTAGCCTCAAGGAGAAAAAAAACAAACTGAATGCTAATCTCTACCACAATATATCTCAAAGTCATGAGAAGGTCAGCCATTAAAACAAGCAAAATACTTAGCCTCATGGCGCCAGATTTATTGAAGTAGCTTTTTATTTCCTCATTAAGCTTCACAAAAGGATTTATGAAAACTTGCTAATTGATTAGACTGAACAATGAGCTGTTGCTGACTTTGGAGATAAAGAGAGGGCATAAGCTCAAGGATGTGGACAGCTCCTAGAAACTGAGGAGACGCCAGCAAGGACACAGGGACCTCAGTCCTACAACCACATGGCACTGAAGACTGCTAACGACCTGAGTGAGTCTGGTCGGGTAAGAACTCAGGCCAACATACACCTTGATTTTATTCTTGTGAGAGCTGAATAGAGAAACTAGCTGAGCCTTCACACCCCACTATGAGATAATAAACGTATGTTTGCTGTTTTAAGTCACTAAGTTTGTTGTAAAGCAGCAACAGGAATCTAATCCCACGTAGAGACAACTAGACTGAAACAGAGATGAAAACTTGTCCATGTCCACACACCACAGAGCTCAACTGCCGTTCAAATCCGGGCAGTCCGACCTCAGAGCACAGGAGTTGTTATCAACGTACTCTAACAGAATTAGCTGTTTCATACATGTCAATATTTTTAAAATGTTTTCTGAATCGACAAGCAAAATTGATAAATAGTAGTGGGTAGGAACCCTCATACATTATAGCTTCTTAGGTCCTGGGATATGTGTGTGTGGGGAACAACATTTTAATAAGAGCCTACAAGAATGTCGGGCACAAAATGTTTTCTAAAAATAGTGAGAATAAAAAACGTGAATTACATTCTTTCTAAATATGCACTCGCAGAAGAATGGGAAAAGCAATCACAAACCGCCTCTGCATTTCATTCTCCAGAAGTAGAATCACTACTTTCGAGTGACGAGAAGCTTCATAATCACGTCTTATAACTAATGGAATTTGTACTTTTCCATGTAAAGCGAGAGGCTATGTTTTTATAGCTCTCTCGTAACCCTTGCCCATGACAAAGTTCTTTCTCAGAGGCCCCACACAAATTTCTCAAAGGGCAAGATGATAAAGTGACTAATAAAAATTAATTAGTCTATTCTTAGACACTATTAATGAAACTACCAATCTTACCATTCTGATTAGATTCTGTAAGATGCAGAAGTGTGTGTATTGCTAAATTAGCCAGGATCCACACTTAACTCCTGCTCCCAGAATGAACCTACATGCTGACCCACACAATTAGTATTTCCTCAAAGTAACATGTAGGCCAGTGATGGCGAACCTATGACACGCGTGTCAGAGGTGACACACAAACTCAATTTTTTGATTTTTCTTTGTTAAATGGCATTTAAATATATAAAATAAATATCAAAAATATAAATCTTTGTTTTACTATGGTTGCAAATATCAAAAAATTTCTATACATGACACGGCACCAGAGTTAAGTTAGGGTTTTTCAAAATGCTGTCACGCCGAGCTCAAAAGGTTCGCCATCACTGATGTAGGCAAAGGCCTGCAGGCCGAACAGAGAATTAGTGAGGCTTTACATTTCAGTCCTATAACAAAAACTAACACCTGATGATACGTAAATAGTAGGTCAGCTAATCTGTTCTGAGGGCATTTACTGAGTGCTGCATGCTTGTCAGGGGAAACAGGTGGCACAGATAAAAATATAAGAAACATATAAAATAGTCTATCTAAATTTCCAAACTGGAAGATCAAATCTAGGTTAGCTGTTAGACAAGCATTTAACAGGTGAAGAAGGTGTTTATATGGGATGCCAGTACACAGGAGAACAGGAAAAACCACCACAGCACACAGAAAGGGGAGCCTCAGAATATATAACATGCTAATCTTGAACAATAAGGCACTATCCCAGCTAAATAAAACTTAGCTTCTTGGCTTTCCCTATGAATCTAGTGCTATATTAAGTGTGTGTGTGTGTGTGTGGGGGGAGGAGTGACACACTACTTACTAAGTAGTTAATAGGGAAAACATATCACCATTTATCCTTCCCTTGAGATTCAGCTGACACTGCTCAAGCTGTAAGTGGACTGAGTTGGTGTCCTTTGAGTTAAACCATGAAGCCCAGAGTTAAGCCCAGAGTTATTTAAGTCTATTTTGAAGGTCTCTTCTTTCTCCCTTAAGTCTTCAAATTTATTTATGGACTCAATGCAAAAATTGAGTATGTCCACGGGTTCAGAAAAGTAGGTGTTTACAATGCAGCTGAATGGAATTAGGACAGATTTATGGGTGACTAGCAAGCTAATCATTTGACATACTTTCAATTTGATATTCTTTAAGCAAATTTTCAATATTTCTTTTAAGTGAATTGACCTTCTATAAATACAAGTTGGATACCTTTTTTAAAAAAAATATGGAATGCTTCACAAATTTGCATGTCATCCTTGCACAGGGTTCATGTTAATCTTCTCTGTATCTTTCCCATTTTAGTATATGTGCTGCCGAAGAGAGCACAAGTTGCATATATTTTTTAAATAATTCATTTGTTGGCTGTGCTCTCTTCCAGCTCAATCCAAATAAGATATTCCTCACATAAAAGCATGAGTGAAAAATGCAGAATTTACTGAGGATTTCACTCAGTTCATAACAATTAATTCCAAAAATCTCTAACAGACCTTATCGCTTGGCCTTGAAGGGGCTTAGTCTCCTCTCCCTTCCTCCTCTGCAGGCCCATAATCTTCCTGCTACTACAAAATTCTATTGCCTAAAATAAAAAATACAGATAACAACAGGTGTTGGCGGGATGTAGAGAAATTAAAACTCTCATTCATTACTGATAGGAATGTATAATAGTTCAATTACTTGGGAAAATTGTTCCTTAAATGTTAAACATAAAGTTATCATTTGACCCAGCAAATCCACTCCTAGGCAGTTACTCAAGAGAATTGAAAGCACATACCCACATAAGAATTTGTAGATAAGTGTTCATAACAGCACAGCTAGTCAAAAGGTTATGCCCATATAAGACCATGTAAATGCGTGTTCATAACAGCATTATTCATAATAGCCAAAAGGTGAAAAAGGCCCAAAGTCTATCAATGAATGAATGGATAACAAAAGTGTGGTACAGTCATGCAAGGGGATATTAACCAGCCATAAAAAGGAAGGAAGTGCTGATCTATGTTCCAACAAGAATGGACCTTGTAACTTATACTAAGTGAAAGAAAGCCAGTCACAAGAAAACCCACATGGTGTGTGATTCATTTATAGGAAATGTCCATAATAGGCAATCTATATAGACAGACTGCCTAGGGCTGGGGAAAGTGGAGGGGCAGCAGGGAGGTTGAGGAAGGAATGGGGAGTGTCTGCTAATACACTTCCAGTTTGAAATGATAAAAATGTTCTAAAACCAGATGTGGTGATAATTGCACTCTGTGAATACACTAAGAATCACTAAATCATATACTTTATGGGTCAATTTTATGATGTATAAATTATATCTCAATAAACCTCTTAAAAGAAATTCTGTTGGCTTTAAAATCAAGTATAGGGAAAAAAAAGTCAGAGAAGTTACAGCTAAAGATAAGTTTATCTACTTTTCTCCTAATGACTCACTAAAATGACAATAAAATAATTGTAAAGGTATAATCTGTCAAGAATAAAGAGAACTGAATAGAGGACAGTAGATGAAAGACTTCAACAAATTTACATGCACACACGCACACATGCACACATACTTCAAGACCAGCTCTAATGCAGAATTTTGCTTAGCCAAGGCTTCTCATTCAGAATTTGCATAATCCCACTCATTACTTATAACTATCTCATAGCATCAAAGGAAAAAAAAAAAGATTAATATATGTGCTCTGTACAGAAAAGGTCATCTAGTTATCAGGATATACAATCTTAGAGATCACAGAGTATCATAAACACAAGTAAGGTTTTTCCTGTCACGTGGATCTGAAGGAAGCAGAACCAACTGGAATGTCATCAGAATGTATGGAGTCACATGTGGACACCTGGGCTTCCTGGCACCACATCTGCAACTCATTCCAGTGCAAGTTTCACAATCTGAATGATTGGCACCGTGGGCAGATATGCCAGTGGCAACCTTTTAATTCTTTTCTACATTTAGATTTTTATCCAGAAGAAAAGAATCGTTTATATACTTGTTATTGCTTATAAAATGCCTAAAAGGCACAAACTGAAAATGAAAGAGCTTAAACTTGGAATTTAATATGATTGTTTTTCATAGACACAGAAATTTGTGAAGGTTGAATAATTTCAAAAGAAAAGGAACTTCTCAGTAAGAAGGAATTAACTTAGGGGAGGAAAAATGTCATGTACTTCCCATGGAGCTCATCCTATCCAAAGAGTGATGACGTAACTAGTATTATAACTAGCCAACATCTGCAAGGTAAAAACCACTCAGCTGATTGCAAGCAATGCAAGTGTCACCATGATATGCAGTATGGATAAAAGACAAGCTTGACTCAAACTTTCTGAGTGAATTCCTCAGATAATGAAAAAAGCAGAACTCAAGACTCAAGCACAAGTCAGCTTATTAAATTAGATTTCTTTACAATTAGACACAGTACTCATTAAAATGGCCCTACTATCAGGGTGCTTTTCTTCAGAAAAACAGTTGCTGTTTAAATTATCAAACGCTCATAAACTAAAACTCACAGCACTTTATTCTCACATATTGTTTGCACAGCTATTATAAAATTCTGTTCCATTTAAAATCAAGTATGGGGGAGGGGGAGGCAAAGGAGAATGTCCATTTAAAGGAGTGATCACATGTTCTTCCCAAGATTCCATCATAATGACAATAAAATAATGTTCAAAAAGCATAAGCACCCAAGGGCAACAAAAACAGCAGAGAAGACAGAAGTAGATGAGATTTCAAAGACGTTTAGAAGTGAATGCAAGTGACTGGAGAGACTGTTCCAAAGCCTGTCAGTCTCTAGGGAGCTTACCGCCACACATGCATTTGGGCAATTGTATTATCAGGTAGGAGTGCTGAGGCTTCGTCTCTGGGTATCACTGGATTCCTGGATACCTGAGGCAGCTAAGGGCTATAGTGAAGTACCAGTTGAAAAAGTGAGAATCAGTGAAAATCTGCTAAGAAATAAGGGGCCTATATCACATTAGGGCTGGTGCTGGGATCAAGAGATTATATAAATAAAATACTTGCTAGGTTTTAAACTATATAAATAAAACATCTGCTAGACATTAAACTAAACAGTGGTAATCTATTGTCACTGCAAGTAATAAATTCTCAAAGAGAATCAATGTTAAAACATAAACGAAAAACATAAAAAATTATCTATACAAATTAAGAAAACACACCCCAGTAAAATTTTTCCCATGGATTTTAGAATCATTCTTTACTTTTAGCTGTGCTAGCCATTAAAGATTTCCAAGACAAAAACATCAATTCTGTAATAATAATTTCTATCCTAGAGACCACCTAAGTAGCATCCACTGTAGGCTCTTTACTAATTAGTTTTCACTCGTACACTTACCAAATTGTGATACATTTTTCTTTTTATAAACTGTGATACATATTTTGTAATATTTTTATTGATTTCAAAGAGGAAGGGAGAGATAGAAACATAATGGATGACATGAGAGAGAGCCATTGATCAGCTGCCTCCTGCATGGCCCATACTGGGGATTGAGCTTGCAACCCGGAACTGACCGGGAACTGGGACCTGCTGGTTCATAGGTCGATGCTTAACCACTGAACTATGCCAGTCAGGTGTGTCATACGTTTTTAAAAGCCCAGTGTTATGCACTGAATTCTGTCCGTACAAAATTCACAGGTCAAAGCCCTACTTACCCCCAATGAGACTGTATTTGGAGATAGGGCCTATAAGAAGACAATTAAGGTTACCTGAGGCCATAGAAGTAGTGCTCTAAGAAGGGAGAGACTTTAGGAGAACATGCACACATGTGTCCCTAACCCTGCATTGGTGAAGGTTAACTGTATTTGTAGGAGTAGCTGTAATGGGTGTAGAAGCCACACACACATAAATCATCTAAGCGAAATCTTGGCACAGAATAGGTACTTAAAGCACGATGAAAGATATATAAAATTAGCTTACAGTCATCTCTTTACAGCTATAATATTCAAAATGCTAAGTATGAAGACTGTTGAGTTTATGTGGATGACTACGAAATTCACATCTTCAGCCTTAATCCCCCATCTCCTAAGCACTGACATTCATTTTACTCATCATGGCCCCATAATAACTTTCCCTCTTCATTTCCATTATTTGTATTAACTGACCACTTGTCTAGATGGCACATCAGAATCTCTCTTTTTTCTTAAATAAAAACAGCTGGACCTAACCGGTTTGGCTCAGTGGATAGAGCATAGGCCTGCAGACTCAAGGGTCCCAGGTTCGATTCCAGTCAAGGGCATGTACCTTGGTTGCGGGCACATCCCCAGTAGGGGGCGTGCAGAAGGCAGCTGATCGATGTTTCTCTCTCATTGATGTTTCTAACTCTCTATCTCTTTCCCTTCCTCTCTAAAAAATCAATAAAAAAAAAAAACAACACACAAAAACATCTGGATCGCTGAGATAAACATTTATACTTAAAATTGTTTTTCTTGAAATAAAAAATAATAAAAGAAAAATTAGATTACAAAAAAAAAAAAAAAAAAAAGACCCCACAAAGAGCATACATCTGATTCTACCAAGCTAATAGCATGAGTCTTTGGGCTGAGTCCCAAATTCACCTGAAGGGAGAGAGGGAGCATTAGTCAGACACAGAAGGTTCCTAGAAAGTGGAAGACTGCTTCTTCCTTTCAGGACAAAAGATCAGGTCTGACAGGCTGACGCATTTTAAAAGTAAAGGCCCCACCCTAGGTACAGATAGAAAAGATTTGAATTCCTGAAGAATAATAGCTGCTTTGGGGCTTGGCAAAGCATAGTCCGCATCCGCTCTCCTTGGTGCTAATTCAACCTTGTCTCAGAACTTCCTAATTTATTAATTCCCACTCATGACAGTCTGACAAACCCCCTTTGCCAGGGTGGTCCTTCCATATCCAATTATGGGATAGAAATATTTGCACTTATATTACAGATTTTTCAGTAGGGAACATTCACATAAAGGGATTTCTAGTTAATCCTAAATTAAATTAATCCTATCCTAAAGTCTTTTTATTGTTTGCAACTCATATCTATTCCCCAAGCACACCTGAGGCTATAAAAAGAGAAAACATATATTACTGGCCCACCAAGATAGGAATAAAGGATCCAAGGCATGGAATATAGCCAAACTGAGATAATTACTTTAAAAACCTCAATTAAGGAAGGTGAGACCTTGCAATCAGAGATAAGTTTCACATGAAAACAGAAAAAGATAATCTCTTAACTAGGAATTGTCCACACCAGGACTGTGACAGGAGCAAAACGTTCTTACAGAAATCAGCTTTCAGATAGTTTTCGATAAATACCTGGTGTGCAGATATTCTAAAAACATAATCATCTCAGATTCAGAAA